TAAAACAGTTCTAGTTGGAGAGAGAGAATTTTGAAGTAAAATGGAGCCATTTGCTCCTCCCCAGTCTGAACAGAACCTTGCTGATTTTTGGTGAAAATGAAGAAACTTAAAAATCTGACTGACACTAAGTAGTGACATGCTTTGCTGGTGGCGGGGAGGGACCCACTAGCCTTCATCATAAACCCACTGCCTCTGACCCTCATGGATCAAATAGTGATGTTAGCAGAAATCAAGCTGTTCCAGTTTTCTTGCCCACCCCTTCCTCCCCCTGCAAATCAATAGGGTTTTGACCAGAATAGAGGATGGGAATCCTGGCCAGGGGTGGGGCAGTCAAAAGTGTCAGGAGAGTAAGGGATCAGACCATTGTTGGACAAAGTTTAAAATTTTTGTTCATGTACAGTGAATATTCTTTGAGTCTAAAAGCTTTTTCTGCACGCAGGCTGGCTACCAAATTACTCAACAAAGACTTCCTATTGCAGTGAATGGGAATCTGTCATACACCTTCTGTGTAGGGGCAAAACAAAGTCAGCTGGTAACAAAGAATGTGAGGATCAAGCAGATTCAGTTGGAACAAGACAGTGGGAAGAGCCTTCACAATGATACAAGGAGCCAGACTCTCATTGACTTGAACAGGGCTGGTAGGTTTTGAATCATGTTCCTTCTCTCCTCTCTATTTTCTCCCCTCAAAACAATTCAAAAGTTTGTGTTAAATTTTGAAAGGGAAAAAACACTTGAATTTCTCAGGTAGCTAACGGTTGTTTATTCTTGTGCTGTTTTCTGATAGCATTGTGGCAGTAGCAGATCAGGAGGCCAGGGGCTCTGATTTCTCAAAACCAGCCAACTTGAAGATAACCCTTCATCAGAAGGTGTTCAAGAGGCCAGAAGAGGTGCTTTGAGCTCTTGCCCTATTAGCATTGTTCTAAAAAAGCAATCAAACCAAAAGAAACACCACTGCAGGAAGCAAGATCATGTGCTGCACAGAGAATTCAGGTGATAGGGCAGTGCTTGAGTTAGAAATATATTTTAATTTTTGGGTAGTGTTGGAGCAGTGTTGTAGCCATAATGGTCCGGGAAATAGGTGAGAGGCAAGGACTTTTGTGGGCAGTATCTTTCTTTATTGGACCAACTACATCAGGGCGGGCAATTATTTTGGGTGGAGGGCCCCTTACTGAGTTTAGGCAAGCCATCAAGGCCGCATGACAAGCAGCCCAGGACAGATTAATATTAATTTTCTAAAATTTTTAGGAGCCGTGCAGGCCAGATAGAATAGCTTGGCGGGCCGCATTTTGCCCACCCCTGAACTACATGCTTGAGGTACACTTAGATAAGCTTTTGAAAGTAGTGCATTCTTCTCTGAGTCATCTTCACACTACATTCAAAAACCTATCTTTGTCTATCCCAACCTTGCAGTTGGTCCAATAAAAGAGATCACCTACAAAAATCCTTGCCTCCTGCATTTTAATTTTTAGCTTTTCAAAAATAATTCTTTCTATAGAGCCCTAAAACTTGCATATTCACATAATTTATAGATACAATCCTGATTGCAAAGCCAGGTACTTAAGTACATGGCCTGACTGCCTGAAATGCTGTGCTGCCCCAGCTCCCATTGAAGTTGAGTGTTTGCCATCTTGAAGACTCAAGACACTTAGGACCTGGACTCTGGACCCTGTACCAATCTTCATGCACCCAAATTTGGAAGTGTTCAGATGCCTTTATCCTGAAAAACTCTAGAAACTGCTAGGGCATTCATTTACTTGATTCTGTGCACCCCAGCTTAATGCAAAACGATACAATTAGAGTAAAATAAATTTCAAAGACTTTGCATATTTGCTTTCTGACAGGAGAGAGGGAATATATTTTTCCATCTGTTCCTTTGTACTTCCAATTGCTTGCTCTCTCACTCACTCTCCCATGCTTTCTCTTGCATGCGCGCTTTCTTTCTTTGGCCCATGCATACTTGTTGTGCTCTCGCGTTCAGTCTCGCGTGTGCTCTCGTGCTCAAAAATTTTCGTTCTTAAAAATTAAAGAAAAGCATGTGTAACTGTTCTTCAAGTAGACCCATTTTAACAGGTATTTAATGATACATGGTTTCCAGTTTCTCAGACAAAGCTCAAGTGCTTTCATGTGTTTAGCTAGCTGCACTGTAATATGCCAAGATCAAAAGCTATTGTTGGAAATCTCGTGTCTGTTTCTCTGCTAGGAGTTGGCCTCATGGAAGTTGTCATGGAGCCTGATATGTGCTGTGGGGTAGAGGCAGCTGCGGCAGTCAGAGAGCTTCAGCTTATTCTTCAAACACTTGGGAGCAGCCAGGCAATCATGGCAGGTACGAAAG